TATGGAAACTAATTGACAAAAGCGTAATGTCGGAAAAAGACGGAAAACTTTGAAGAAACAGTTATACTACTGCAATTACAGTGCACTGTACTGTATTATTGAAACGCTGTCACTAAATTCCCTGATAGGTAAAAACATTGATCTGGCGCCCTCTATAGTTAATTAGGCTTAGCAATACCCATAGAGATATAATAAGAATACTAGAGCGCTAACAGCAATGTATTCGATGTTCGAAATACGCAGGCTATGTGTGTGTGTACCATCCAAGATGGCTGCCATAGATTCAGCCAATCAAATTTCCCCTGAGCACTATCATTTTCAATTGCGCCCTCAATTTACACAGAAAGTTCAGTACAGCTAGTTACCCGTATTTTGAAACTCGAGCGTTGCGGTGTATGGGTGTAATGTACACGATTTCAATTCTTTTTAATTTTGAATAAGATGCTCTACTTGGCCTCTTTTTGGCTACGACAGTTCAATAATTTGTCATTATCAATACTAATTATCATTAATGAAATAATATTCAGTCAGAGGGCTTATTTATGGTAATAATATGTATACTAAGCCTGAAGGTGGCGCTTTTCTACGGCAGCCATCTTGGATGGTACACATACACAACTCTGCATTGCTCCGCCATCTTGTCAGCACTCTAGTTTTTTAATAGCTATGAGCAATACAAAACAGTGTACCGATAGCTTTGCACCATGATGTTACTCCAACTGCTGTATAAACAACACATGGCCGCCAGATACTGTTGAACGTAAATCACTCCTTTCTGTTTTAATTACCGTAACTATTCATAATTAATTTAATACGTACTTTAAATTAAAGTGAAATAAAGTGGAAAATAAAGGGAATTTTGAATTTAATTCTGTAGATAACGTACACTGGGTTTAAACCAAACAATGTTAGGTAGCGTATATATTAAACCGTAATTATCAGAATAGTATGATTTCTCTGACTACAATATGACTGCTCCCGGCATTTGATTATAAGTATTTAAACGTCAATTATAAATTAAAATATTTCATTAATTCTATAAAATTCATAGTTTATGACCTAAATTTACTTATAATATTCTAATAATAAATATAAATATTGTATCCACAAACAATAGAGGGATTCAGGGACAAGTTTTAACAGATGAAGGGTCCAGACCAGCTCCACCTTGATTTCTGGTTCTTGTTAGGCCTACCGGGTGTTTTGGGGCTGAGGTACGATGTTGTAAGGCAACATCGCCTGTTTTGAATGAAATTTTTTAATTTTATTTTGTGGAAATTAAAAAAAAAATCATAGGATTCCAGACCTAGTATACCTCTGAACGAATTTCCGCCTTTCCCCCTTTATTTAATAACCTACCGTTTAGGCTACTAAATTATGTAAATATCATATTATTATTGTTTTAATGAATATTTTAAGTTCAAAAACCTGAAGATGTTTAACCAAAACATTCAACATACAGTATGTATTATTCAATTCAATAACTAATTAGATTAGGGCCTAAATACCATAGTTGGTTTAACAACATAATAATTACGTCATTAAATCAACAGATTTATTTTGAAATATTGTCCTGATAAATAAAAAACAAGGCAAATAACAAGAATCAGAGAATAATATTACGAGGAATAATAACATTAAATCTGAAATAGTTTGTCAGTTATATGCTTCAAATAATATCAATCTTTGTAAAATAACTTAAAATATCCAAAAAATACTCCTAGATCCTATTCACTAACGTCCGTACTTAATATAATATAGGCCTAGGCCTACATACAGAGATAATAAAATGGTATAAAATACATTGGATTTAGATTAAACATGGCCTTCCGTATACTTATTTTAATTCTTAGTATACATGGAATATCATGGTACCAATACAAATATAAAACTCGTAAAAAAATAATTTCGAAAAAAATGTAAATTGATTTAACTTCCAGAAATAGGAAAACGCGTGCAAAATTAATGTGAACTTGGTTTGATAAAATATTATGAAATAATTTGTATTTTATAGAAAAATATGTTATTCCTTATATTCATTTTAATTCTGAATGTAATTGAAATGTCATAGTGTCAATAAAATTAAGAAACTTCAAAAAATCTTTCTTGAAGAATCATGTAACAAAAGTCAATCTAAATAAATAGAAAGATGCATGCGACAGAAACCCGAATAATTTAACGGTTTGCTATTTATATTTCATTTTTTAACTTGATTAGTAATTCGATTGATTTTATTGAATGGTTTTTAATGTTTGATGTGATTATGATGTGATTAAAGTGTGTTTGTAATGTATGTGTATTTTGTAGTAGTATGTTGTTATAATCGTGTAGTGTGCATTCATGTTTGTTTTCGTAGAAAAAATGGACGCCGTTAATATACGCTGTGTTGCGGAGCGCATCAGACAACGTGTTGGAGATGATGATTGACGCAGCAACAAAGAAGACCATAGAACACGAGAGCATCGTGAGTGAAATTAAATATCATTACATTTTATACAAACAATACAAAACACATATCATGTATACAAATCATGCAATAAACAAGTGAACATCAACTCAATGTAGATTACAGTGATTTATTTCATTTAAAACTATAAATTATGATTTTATTATTTGATTTATATGCATTTTTTAACTCTAAAAAGCTTATGTTATGAAAATGATCACTATTTTCTCAATAAAAACTTTCAAAAAATATATTTTATAATGAGAAAAAAGTAATTATGTTTGGATTTGTTTTTATCAGTTTGGTTAACTAGATACATTAATGACAATAAAATTAATATTTTACACAAAAAGTTCAATCATTAAAAATGTGAATTTATATTAATGTAATCTAATAATAGTGTAAAACATAGGCATTTTGATTCAAAAATTGTTTGCCCGATTCTACGTTATAAACTTCATCTAAAAAAATATTAAATTATGTAATTAGTATCTAATAATGACTCAAAGTAGATTACAGTGATAAGTTTTATTTAAAACTAGAAATTAGGATTTTACTATTTAATTTACCTGATTGTTTACAACACTAAAAGCCTATGTTATGGGCATGAACAATATTTACTCAATAAAACTTTAAAAAATATATTTTAGAATCAGAGAAAGTAATTATGTTTGGATTTGTTTTTATCAATATAGCCTACTAAATATATTAATGACAATGAAATTGATATTTTACACGAAAAGTTCAACCGCTAAAAATGCGAATTTGAAAGAATACTTGAATATAGTGTAAATCATAGGCCTTTTGATTCAAACATTATTTGCGAGATTTTACATTATAACCGTCATTTAAAAAATATTAAATTATGTAATTAGTATCTAATAATAACGAGTGTAATAATTAATGTATGGGTGATGTAACTCAGACGTTTGTTTTGTTGATATGTGGTGTCATAGTTTCTTGTTGTAGTTTGTTTTCCTGTGTTTTAATTTTCTACTTTTCACTTGTAGCTGCATCGAACTATTCTCCATTACTTGGCGATGTTCGGACATGTATCAGCATTAAGACGCGCGCTGCAAAAACCAAACATCAATGTTAATGTGAGAGACGACGTAAGTACAGTGTAATAAAACAACACTTTTATTAATTGTAAACAAATTAACATCATTGAATTCACAACATATTTTGTCATCACATTCTATTTATTCATATTGTTGTTTATTTTATAACGCGCATGATTTACATAAAGCTGGCTGAAAAATAAGAATGTTCCGTTCAGCATTATCATCATCATAAAATATCATCGTGATTATTGAAATGAATATTCACAAACATTCACATTATCATTGCTATTAATATGAATAGTATCATCATCATAATTTGTTTAATTAATATTCTATTTTATATTATCATTATCATGTTTATAATGATTACATGGAGAAATAATTATGTACGATAATTATGAATTATTTCAGCTGTTTTACGTCGACGTATTAATTATTTGTGTAAATTCATATTCTTGTGTTGTGTCTGTACTTGACAACAAACTTGACATTGATTATCCTTTCATTGCAGGATGGATGCACACCACTACATGAATGTCTAGATAATGAGTACTGCAGTTATGAACAACACCGCGAAATGGCAATGTGCCTCATGGAACATGGCGCGTTATTAATAAAAGACAACGTAATGTACATAATACAAATAAGAATGCATCATCAAACGGATACCAGTCAATGGTCTTAATACAACAACTGTATATCAGGAGGCACTACTACTAGAGCATTTCATGTGTTTAAAACAAACATGAGAAATATCAAATCTTAAAAAAAGAAATAAAAATAAGTAATATTCTACAAAAAAAAAAAAAAAAAAAGTAATACCGGCACCCTACAAATATTTTTTTTTCCAATTATTTTGTACCAATAAATTTGGTGATAACAAATTATCGTAAAATTATCTTGATGCTAATGTGTTGCTGTATACTTTGAAAATATTATTTTGCTATATTTTATGAATATTATTAAATTAAAATGTATTTATTAATTTGGATTTGGATTCTTTACACTAATTGGAATATTTAATAATTCTTTTCATCATATTCAATTTGAAACTGTCATCGAATGTAATACAACTTTTGTGTACTCGTGTCTGTTATTGCAGAAAGGAAAGACGCCTCTTGATTTGTATGATAAGAATAAATGTGGTGAATACGGCGGTCGATCGATCAGACGAGAGAAGAAGGAAGAACTGAAAAAGTTACTTTTAGGTAAATTGACGAACCCATTGTATATTTGAGAATTTAATCATCTGCGGTATATTATAGTCTGTGCATGAACGCCTAATAAATATACTCAAGTTTTAAATTTTGATTTTGAAAAAGGCTACATAGGGCCTACACATTGGCATTTTTCCAATATTTTTTTATCTATATTATTATGACAATGCTATTTAGAGTGAACATTTAAAAGATTTATTTAATTTTTTTTTTTAAAGTTATAAATAATGTAATATACCAGTACTTGAAACAGACATATTTTTATTTTAAGAGATGACACTTCCTGCACAAATTAAAGCCAGAGGAAAAGATGCAGTTACTGCATTCGTCAATGAAATTGAAAAAGGTGAAATGACGTTGGTAAATAGCAGAGTGATGTTTCTAGGAAAGGAAGGGGCTGGTAAAACCAGCCTTGTAAATTCCATCCTTGGAAAACCGTAAGTGAAATTGAAGCCTTATTTTATTTCTATTTAAATAGAAAAGACAGCTTGATGTTACATATTATATCTCAAAGTTATTGAAAGGAAGCTGACTAATTCAAGCAATTTTAAATTACTCTATTTCAACAATTCTTACTAAAATTATGTGCACTTTTAAATAATTTTTGTTTGTAAATCGTCTTTTCATATGAATGAAGTGCTCCTTGACGGCTTTCAAAGATAATGCCACTTTATCGTTTCAAGCATATTATTTTGCGCGTGTGTGTGCGTATTGTACGCTCGTTTGTTAAAAAAAGAATGTGTTGCTAGATCAACGATCAACGAAGGTCAAATTCAATTAGGTCATTATAAGCCTCAAATCAAAGATATCTTTGCTCATACGTAGACTACGAGTAGAAACTGTAATGTAATTTTTCAAACATATCGAGACATTTATTACTAAATTATTAATATAAAATTATCTTAAGCTGTTTTACATAATTACATACTGTGTATGTAATTATTATAGAACGTAATTCATTATTATTATTTATTATTAGTATCATCATCATCATTATTATTATTATTATTATTATTATTATTATTATTATTTAACATTAATTTATTATTATTACTACTTTAATATTAGCATTATCATTATAACCATTATTATTATTTTTTTTTAAACCGCAATTATAGATTCAATGAAAATGAACCATCAACTTGTGGTATTCTAACAACAACAGTATTTCAAACTGTAGGTGAAGACTACAACAAGTGGGAGGAACATAAGGATGTAGACGGTATGGATAATAGAATTACCGTAAATATTTAAATAAATGCCCTGGGGAATTTATTAAAGGGAGGCGTTTATAATATTTTGGTGAAAAATATGTACGTATATAAACTATAAATAGGTATGCACTAATAAACGTATACGTCCTTGATTATGTGCACTTTTAATAATCTTTGTTTGTAAATCATCTTTTTATGAATGAACCGCTCCTTGACTGTTCGTTTCAAGCATGTTATTTTGCGCGTGTGTGTGCGTACTGTACGCTCGTTTGTTAAAAAAGGAATGTGTTGCTAGATCAACGATCAACGAAGGTCAAATTCAATTAGGTCATTATAAGCCTCAAATCAAAGATATCTTTGCTCATACGTAGACTACGAGTAGAAACTGTAATGTAATTTTTCAAACATATCGAGACGTTTATTACTAAATTATTAATATAAAATTATCTTTAAGCTGTTTTATTTCGTGTATGTAATTATTATGGAACGTAATTCATTATTATTATTTATTATTAGTATCATCATCATCATCATCATTATTATTATTATTATTATTATTATTATTATTATTATTATTTAACATTAATTTATTTTATTACTACTTTAATATTAGCATTATCATTATAACCATTATTTTTCCTTTTTTTAAACCGCAATAGATTCAATGAGAATGAACCATCAACTTGTGGTATTCTAACAACAACAGTATTTCAAACTGTTGGTTTAGACTACATCAAGTGGGAGGAACATAAGGATGTAGACGGTATGGATAATAGAATTACCGTAAATATTTAAATAAATGCCCTGGGGAATTTATTAAAGGGAGGCGTTTATAATATTTTGGTGAAAAATATGTACGTATATAAACTATAAATAGGTATGCACTAATAAACGTTCTGTAATTTCAGAGTAAATAGGCCAAATGTATTGCATGATCCCAACGAGAAGAAAACATGTAATTCTACTTGGAGTAGAACATTTATGAGAGTGAGAATGATGTTGCTTAAATTCGTTTTGTCTACAGAAATTCCAGTGAAGCGTTTATTCCAATTGAGACTCGCGGGGGTGGGGGGATATTTGAGTAGGCGTCTATTCTAATAAATACTGTTACTTACCAAATATACGTGATCACAAATGAATTTATTAAAAATCAATATAGATAATAATTATTTGATTATTGTACAGTGTGTGAATTAACCAAGAAAATACGAGAGTATAATATAGCAGAACGTATTGCAAGGAAGTTGGAACCACCAGAAGGCCAGGAAACCACATCTATGTCCGTATCACCCAGTTCTACAGCATCTCCAATGGTAGAATAATAAATGCTTTATTTTAAACATAATTTTTACATTTCACTATAGTTTAAATTTTTACCTATTTTGCTTTATATTATGATATATGTGTTTAAATTTTCAAAACTTTTGTCAGAGTCAGAGAGTGCCATTTTCGCAGTTTGTTTTTGTTTTTATAACGATCCGATGTCCCATGGGTTTTGTCATTTTTTTTCCCCGACAGACTATACCTCCCACCCCACCTGCACCGGAGCCATTCCTGTATCATACAGTACGAATGTCATAATTCATTTCCTGATTCCCAGACATAATGAGTCTGATAGAAGCGAAAACGGGGAGAAACGGGGGGGGGGGGGGGGGGGGGTGAGAGTTGGCCCTTTTATTTTTCTACTCTTGGACCAAACCCATCGCCAGTAATAAATATAGTTAACTAACGCTATACAGTGCCATTATTATTCAATGTATTGTAGATTCTTTTTGTCATATTCAAACGTACATAAAAAGTTTTTATTTTAGCAACGAGTGTGTACACATGTTAATTGGCGCCTGTAAATCAATCAATCAATCAATTGAAGAGATTTCTATAGCGGCAATTAGTAATGTTTCTTGGTGTTGAGTGACGATGGTATAATTACACAGTGCATAAAATGGTTAATTTAATTATCAAATAAGTGGAAATGTATTTTTCTTCAATAATAATACTAATAATTATACTCTAAATTGTAAAGCGCGCGTCTATGTTTCCTTGAATTGAAACGTATTCATCTTTAGTCTAAAGAAAACAATTGATTAAAATCTTCTTTCTTGCGTAAATACTACCACAGGGCGTAGGTAGGCACTCTCTTTGGAATGCTTCTCATTATGTTAAGTATAAAACCTGTCCAGACTCTCAAATTTAATTTGAAGGAAAACAAAAAAAAACATGTGATATGCCCTAATATGGTCATGATGGCATCACATCATGACCATATATAGTGTAACCACATTTAAATTTCATATAAAACAAACACAATAAGATTTTACTAATTAAGACAAATTATTAAAATAAAGTTCTCTAAAGGTTAACTACAGTTTTTTTTAGTACAAATTGTAATTAAAATATATAAAATATATTATAAAAACTGTATTGCATAAAAATACTAATCGTTTGGCATTAAGAAATAGTAATAGGTAAAACAAATAATAGACTATGTTAAACGTTTAATATTAAAGTACCATTTCCGGGCTTATAAAAGAGTATTTTTAAAATTATTTTTAAGGGCCCAGTCGTCTAACAGGAGAAGGTTTCGTCGTGGAAAATTTTTGTTTAGTATAAGGTCGGAACTTCGTTTAGGCTAGCTTCCTCATTGAGCAATTTGTGTTAATTTTCATCAACAATACCCTCATAATGCTTGGAAGATTTCATTGGGATCGTGGAAGCAGTCTCGACTTCGACTTTGACATTAGACAATTATGAATTCATATTACAATAATTCATGCCTAATAAAATAGCTAATAAAATTCATAAAAAATTGGTAAAATATTCAAGCTTCTAACAAGCACCTCCCCCGGTCAACAGGCCTAGATGCTCGCTATGCTCGCATACTGGATTAATTACCCCTCCCCCACTTTCTAAAACGTTCTTCTGGCATTAATCCCCTTATTTTTGATTCGTCACCTGGCCGTTTTACGGTATTTTGTAGTGTTGATATTTGGTACTTGATGTTTCCACATTTTCAACTATGCTATTAATGTTTTATTGTAAATAGAATATTTTATCTACATAGGAGTAACTAAAAATAATGATTAAAACAACTATAATTTACCAACTACTATACAATTTTTACAAACTATTTTATTGCAGGAAACATCAGAAGAAGCTACAAGTCTAACTTCAGAGGAAAAAGGTATTTATTATTTAAGAACACTGTTCATCACTTCCCTTATATCATTACAGGGGAATTGGGCAGCCTTTTTTGCTTTTACATTGTACGTTGTCTATTTTTCTAATGCCAGCTAAATAAACTTAAACATTTCCCTGACGAGAGCGTAATAAGGTGGTCAGGCATCGCTCAAAAGGGAGACAGTGAAAAGCTACCGGGAGTTAAAGTTTAGCTATTTCAAAGGCATGTAAAAGCTACATTGTATTTTCTCCCCGATGAATTGTAATTTTTCTTTTCCTCCCTCCCCCTCCCTCTCTAATTTTGCCATGATCTTACGCGCATTTACTTGATAATTAAGCCCTCCCCCACTCAGATTTTCACGTGTCCATTTCATCTTTCTGTCGATAATCCTAGATTTTAGAATTCCTCATACCTTTCAGTACATTTTAAGCAGTAACATAATATTGCTCATGGTTATCTTATCATCTTTTCTTGACATTCCTCATAAATTTCATTCAATATTATCATCATAATCATTCATTTATTATTACATTATCCTCATTAATTTAGTATTGTATTCCATTGTCATCACCATCATCCATCTTCAGATCATCTCTTCGGAACTCAAAATATATATGAGTTCGAATTTTATTTCCTTTTTTTCAGAAACTTCTGATGTGTCTCAGAGTGCTGCAAATGTTCAGTTCGATAGACTCCCAGAAGAAATTTTTAAAAAAGTTGTAGCTAATCTTGACCGCCAGAATCCTGAACCAAGCAGGAGCGCAGAAGAACCAAAACCCGGCATTTTTAAACGATTCTTCATGAAAATAACGAGAAACAAGCCTACTAACAAAGATGCACGCTTTGAACGTGTTGTTGAACGTGTTGTTGAAAATGTACCTAGTGATGTAACATGTATATGGGATTATGCAGGCCAAATCTCATATTATATAACTCATAGGGTAAGCAGCATAGCACTTTACTGATTATAGTGTACAAGGCTACATTCTAATATTATTGTAATTGTCACTGGATATTACATTATCTGTATCAGAAATAGATTTGTTTTTCTTTCAAATGTGATGTTATAATAAACGCAATTAATTAATAATAAAGAAAAATTGGTCGTCTGAAAAGTTTAATCTGAACCATATGACTATAGCCAATCACATACTGTTCAATATTTTGAGAATTCTGAAGGTGCTTAAATTATATTTTTTATCTCATTAGGCCTACAGCCACTAACGTAGTGTTCACTCGAGAGTTCGTGGATGTTTAAATATATTAATGTTTGTTGCACCACTACAATGAAGTAACAAAAATATTTTTTAAAATATGATAAATAGGCTACAGCAGCATTACTTATTCACATCAACATGTATTAAAATAATAAGTACATAAATCTACAATGAAGAGTAAATTGGAAAATTCACTGGATATTACATTATCTGTATCAGAAATAGATTTGTTTTTCTTTCAAATGTGATGTTATAATAAACGCAATTAATTAATAATAAAGAAAAATTGGTCGTCTGAAAAGTTTAATCTGAACCATATGACTATAGCCAATCACATACTGTTCAATATTTTGAGAATTCTGAAGGTGCTTAAATTATATTTTTTATTAAAGTTTAAAGCCAATTCTCATTAGGCCTACAGCCACTAACGTAGTGTTCACTCGAGAGTTCGTGGATGTTTAAATATATTAATGTTTGTTGCACCAGTACAATGAAGTAACAAAAATACTTTTTAAAATATGATAAATAGGCTACAGCAGCATTACTTATTCACATCAACATGTATTAAAATAATAAGTACATAAATCTACAATGAGGAGTAAATTGGAAAATATTATTTAGATACGGTAAATTATTAAACAAAAGAAAATACGCTAATGCCATAGAAACTTACAAACAGAGAAAAATATTTAATCATGGAACGAACAAAGCCAATGATAACCCATATGACTACTTTCATTTGTGTCCTTAAAATTATTGATAATACAATAGTGATCGTGCTGATAATAGTTGATATAACGGCGCATATCTACTCAACAACACTAATACAGTTTACGCACTTAAACCAAGAACTTTCAAAATGAAGTAAGCGTTGATTATTTAATTTTCTTTTAATCATCAGTTGACTTTTAGGTGATGTTTAATTTTACTTTATGTTTAACATTTTCCATTAATTAAAATAAACATTTTTTCCTTTCCAGTTTTTCTTGACAGATGGATCGTCATATGTCGTTGCTTTTAGTTTGTTTGAGCCTTTAAATGAATTGGCAAAATCAAGAGGTCCACTAAAAGTAAATAAATCATTTCACATTTTCTACTATGCAATAAAAGTGAATTAGTTTCCATTAACTTATTGCATATCATATCTGTTTTTTTATATTAACTATGTTCTTATATTTTGTAAAGAGTTTGAGTAAGTTTGTAATTTAATAGTCTTATCTATGACACTCATTATATTTTCTCTCTTTACTCTTCCTTGTTCCTTTCTTCTTTTTATCAGGATCGGTTTGAAATGACTAATCTCCAAATGATTATTTTCTGGATACGGTCAATATATGAGCACGCTGTACTACAATATAATGCAAGTACGCAATTAATAAATGACACTATAGCCTCACCCACAATCAGTTTGGTTGGCACTCACAAAGACAAGTTAGAGGGAAGTGAGGAGAATAAACAGAATCAGGTAAGATATTACATCGCAGTTTTAGACATAAGTATAGGCGAATTTTGTGTAATGTAAACATTTAAAAAAATTGTTAATACATAACGTGATAAATTTAATCTCTACGTAAACAAAGTATTAACAAATATTCCGCTTGTTCCCAAAAGTATCTATATCAGTGGCCTTGCTAATACTAATACTGTATTGTAGTTATTTAACACTAGATTGTTAAATAAGTATTTTATTGAAAATTTCTTTTACAAGAATTTGTCATTTTGAGTATGGCCATGACGACAATGACGGTGGTGTTGGTGATAATGATGACAAAATTCAAAATTAGCAGAAAAACTGCAAAAAACACCAAAAGAAACGAAACCTTGCACGCATTTGACTAAGTGTTCAGGATGATCTTCACCACTGGAATATATTTATTATTATTTTTTTTAAATTTATATTTCCAACATAACATAATACATCAAATGACAATTAAATAACATGACGAGAAGAAAAGAAAAGAAAAAAAATCCTACGTCACTTCACCCAGCAGGACACTAAGTAATGGAGCATCATTAAACAGAGGCAGGGAGAGAAAATACTTTCTCCAGTCTACCGGAACATCGACACAGCATGTAGCATCCAGTCCCAATCCTCTAACAGACAGGAATAGACTCCCACATGCCGACCCGTCCGTTGAGTATCTTCACCGGACGAGTCAACAATACGTCTTCAACTGAAAATAGTTATGGTTTACGGCGGTAGGCTTGGCCACCTGGGCTTCAAGTTTTCCTCCCAGTCTGAAGCTATTTTTATGGCCCTCCACCCAAAAGTAAATTTTTATTTACCCCATGTCCATCATTGAAATCAACTTATATTTTATTTAAGGTTTACCAAATGTTATCATCACCCACCCTTAAAATTTATTTTATTTTCCCATAGCGATTAAATCATTGTCCTCTTAAATAGGTGGCAATCCCTTCACATGACAAACATAAACACATGGTGCTTTATAAACTCATAATGAGACTTATGGAGTTTTTTTTTTTTTCGTGAGTAAAATATCATGGGATCCTACAGGATTTAAACAATGACCTTGAGATTGGAAGGTGAGCATCCAATCTATTCAACTCCCAACCCTTTCAGGACAATGTCTACACCGCACACACAGTTTTCTACAGCTACTACCATACCTTCCAGAATTCTGTACTACAAAGTCAACAGAACAGTAAACGGGCTATAAGTAATCCGTTGTTAGGAAGTTCCCCACTCTAAGTCATTGAATCCCAATTTTGGATGCTCTAATGTGCTTTGTTTTTGTAAATTTCAATGTATGAAAACACAGGTAAAATGAAATTAAATAAAATTGTACTATTTAATTTTATTCAAAGATTGAAGCAATATTCAAAATAATATTTGAAGAAATCAAAGGGATGCCTTTCGAACTTCACGTTGACAGAACGATGTATGCTGTAGATAATACATCAGCAAATGACAAAGGGATTGAAGAATTAAAAAAAAATCTTGGAGGTTACACAAAGCAAATGGCAAAAACAGTTCCCACAAAATGGGTTGATTTCCAGTCGAAAATCCAAGAAGTCGGGAAAACAACACTGCGCATGTCCTTAGACGAGGTACCATTTTGTCGTATTTTTCCGAAATTTCTTTAGCCTCATAAACATTCTATAAGATTGTGGAAACATATTTTAGAATTAATTATAATAAATGTGATTATTATTATTATTAATTATTTTTATTATTTGTATTATTATCAAGGTTAGATGTAATAACATTTCACTGTCATGAATATTTTTATGTTGGTTATATTTATACTTATAGACAACTATTAGAGTGTTTCTAATATTTTATTCAATATTTTTTTAGGTCAATGAGATTGCTGTCGATTGTGGAATTCCGAACGAAAACACCATCCACATTCTCAACTATTTAAATGATTGCGGAATCATCATGTATTCGCCAACTAACATCAAGTTGAAGAACACTGTGATTACTAACGTTCACATGTTGATTGAAATCTTCACGAAAGTAATCACAACAGAAGATCAGGTACTATTAACAATCAAGTAAACTGGCGTGCGGGATAGACCATACACATTTTAACATACAGTATACGTAATCCGTTTTTAATTAGAGTACATTATGACCATTCATTTTTGAATTGCACACCTGACCTGTTCTAGAATAAATGCTAAATGTGCTTTAAAATTAAAGAAAAGATGGTATTTAAAATCCTCTACACACTTTTATTAATAAAATTATGTTTTTGTTGATTTTATTTTTATTTAGAGACCCGCAATGATGAAATTATGGCATCTGCTTGATAAAGGCATTCTGAGTGAGACATTGCTACGTCATCTGTGGAAACATGAGTTGGAGGAAGACGCTAGCAGCTTTGACATTTTTGTCGAATTGATGAAGGTTTTTGGACTGCTCTTTGAGAAGCAAACGGTAATTCAATGCCTCTACTTATCATGTAATATGCATTTAACAACTGCTCTGCGTATACATTTTGTTGTGATGCATTGTTTCGTTTGGTCTACATGTAAAAGCTTCATTAATAATTTCTTAAAATGGAAAGGAAAAACCCAATGTATAATTTGAAGTAAATGAAATATGAATCATGGAGATGTGTATAAGAGACAGATTATACGATAAGTCATCTTTTTCCTACAGCTTGAAATAACGCATCGGATTGTAGTAGATGCAAATGATAAACAAGTAATATCACAACCACACCCGAGTGTCTGCATGGAGGTAAACACAACGGCTAATTGTTTGACTTAAACCTTGCTCGCTTAAAATTCGTTATATTGTGGCATTTCGGTACAAAATATAAGCATAAAGAAAATAGAACATGTCTAACAGTTAGAATACTGTCCAACAATCCTAAAATTAATACTAATAATACTTACAGTAACATTTTGAAGGTGTTTTGCATCAGAAAAATCACTAACAATCATGTTTTGCAGAACCTAATAATTATTTTATCTTACTGTAGACTATAATATGAACTCATATGAGGAAAGGTAGAATTTACGTGCAACAAATTGGAATAAAACAATTAAAAATACAAAATGATTTAAAAATAATAATATTTTGTTATTTAGGTATTAAACTACCTGAAGCATCAACTGAAGACTGTGTATGGTACAACAGAAGGTATCGGCTACAAGTTACGCGTCTTGTGCAGCGTATGTCAACCAACACAGCAACCTCATCTGCATGATCTTGAGGATTGTCTGAGAAAAGATAAGGTTTCTTGTGGAAAGATGTCAATGCAGACTTTTCGTTTCAAAAGACTTTTTTCAACAGGTTAGTGAAGAAATGTGTGTTGAGGTTTTTTTTTTAATATGCCGTTGTATGTGTGTCATATTCTACAGTATATATATTTTTTCATAGTAAACAGAGTAAACTCACGGGTCCTAGATGATTTCCTGGAATATTATGGCTAGACCACTGTAATTCCAATACTGTGTAGTAGCCACATCACATGACCTAACGTGCAAATCGGCGCCACTTTGGATATAGTACCAGCGGCTAAGCATTCTCTTATTGACCGTGTACCATAATATGCATTTAACAACTGCTCTGCGTATACATTTTGTTGTGATGCATTGTTTTGTTTGGTCTATAACATGTAACAACTTCATTAATAACTTCTTAAAATGGAAAGGTAATGAAGAAAACCAATGCGTAATTTGAAGTAAATGAAATAAGAATCATGGTGAAATGACGATAATAATTCTAATGCAATTATCTTTAATAAAATTATTACATTTACTTTCTATTAAAACCAGAATTTGTCGAAGAGATCAAGAATTTTCAGGCCGTTCAGTCATTGATTATTGAACTTGGAACGAGGAAGATGAAGGAATTCTTCTTAAAAACAACACATCAAACGAACTCCTCATCTGTTGTCAAATTCTTGAAGAAGGAGAAAGAAAACGGAAGCTTTGCAAGTATGGCGTATTTCCAAGGTCAAGATAAGGTGTTCTCATCAGATGCAGACATCAATGCTTTTGACATTGAAATCCTGATGACATTGATTCGTTACTGTTGTAGAATCACGTATCCCGATGACGACTGGGAACAACCGGATAAAATAGATAATCCCGAACTCGCAAATCTTATCCGCATCCAACAGTATAAAAACACTAAATTAGATCGGAATACAAGTTGTAAAATACCAGCCAAGGATTTTGATGAGGAGTGGAAAGAAGTAAAAGAAATTCTCTTGGATCTTGGTGTTCCCTCCAACGACATCGAAGACATTCGCCTTAGAAAAGGTAAATATTAAATGAATAAAATTCGTATCATATAAGGTTCTCTTATTGTTCTCTTTTAACTTTCCTCTTTTCTATAAAATAGGTTTTGATAAGACTGCCATTCAAGAAATACAGAACTTCCAAACGATCATGTTACTTGTTGTTGGCCTTGGTACACACGTGATGAGGAAGTACTTTCTACGAGTTCACAATCTGAAAGAGGGAGATGTTGGGCAGTTTCTGATGAGTATGAAAAGTAGATTTACAAAAGAAGCAAGGTTGTTTAGAGACCAGAAGAACAAAATGTTTACACCAAATGCAGACATTAATGACTTTGATATTTCAATCATGATCAAAATCATTCGCTTCTGCCACTGCGGCAATCCACTTCCGGATTCGTTTTGGTCACAACCAGATGAAACGCTTGACAGCGAACTTACAAATTTCGTTCGTATCCAGCAATATAGAAATACAAAGTTTGCCCACACAGCGAGTCCAAGGATGTCAACAAAGGAGTTTGATGTTGAATGGAAGAATCTGACGTCCATATTCCAAGGAGTTGGAGTTTCAATGGAAGACATTGATCAATATAAACGAATTCGATTATCAATCTAACTTGAATAATGCCAACCATCGGCTTTGATACTCAATGCACAAGCTTGGATTGGATTTTCTGTATTCACCTAGAACTAAATGTAAATATATAAACTAATGTACATAGTAATACAAAGTACAATTCTTTTTCGACCCCAAGCTGTGAACACTCATTGTATGGAAGGTGTCACCCGTTCAGCAGACCAAAATTGATTCGAAACGGCCAAATCGTTTGCTACTAGTAGCGTTTTAAATTC